ACAACCTGGTACGAAGCACACAGGCATCTTGTTAAAGTTATCTTATCTTAGCCAGCGCCATATAGATAGATTCTATCTATATGGAGCTGATCTTAGCTATCTCTTAGTGGAGGAAAACAGTTATGACGTCACTACGTCACTGGGATTTGTAGTCTTTCTAGTTGCGTATTTTTCATAGTCTTATATTTCAACAGTTTTACGACAAACTGTGACTTTTCTGACATGGAAATGATTTTTTAAGATTGACAAACATCATATGTGTAATTCATGGCACAATTCAAACGGGATAGAAACATACGTTTTCTCTCTCCATTGACTTCAATACATTATTTTTCCAAAATAAGGTCCCATGGACCGGAAGTACATGGGGGTGACTTCGCTACTCTATTAGGGCTGCAGCAAACGACTAATTTGATAATCGATTAATCTATCGATTAATGAAACGATTAATCGATTATTCAGACTATTACTGTATGCCTTGCACAATTTCTCAAACGCTCTGATTTAGCCATCAACTTTTAGATTTAGCTTGAGGTTGTTTTAGGCATGTGGAAACTAACAATGAAGTTGATGGCTAAATCAGAGCGTTTGAGAAATTGTGCAAGGCATACAGTAANTGTATTAAATCACGGTCAAATGGATATAAGCCCCGCCCCTCTCCAGTGTGTCCTGTTTGAATAACAGGAGTAAACACAGCTGACAGCCGCGGTGAAACTCCAGCGGTTAGGGTGAGAATATTCGCATGGCGTCCGTTGTGAACGCAGCATAATGCAGTTGAGAAACCACTGTTCTGACGCTTTTAAAGCAACTTCGAGATTTTAACACTATCAGTGTCTCTTTTGGAATCTTTGCTGTAGCTAAATTGTCCGATTTTCTCAAGCCTCCTGCTCTCTCCTCTCCTCAGGTCACCACAGACAAGAAGAGCCTGGCTTATGTCGACAACATGCTGAAGAAATCCAACAAGAAGGTAGAGGAACTTCACCAGGAGCTGCAGGAGCTCAACGCCCACATCGTGGTCAAAGACCCCGAGGAACTGCTAGGTAACAGCAACAATGCAAAGAAGCGGATCCACAGATGATTTAGTAAACATTAACCTGGAAGTAAAGGCCAATGCTCTACTATACTCGGCCTTCCTACAAATAAAGCATTGTTTTACAGAGCTGCAGCAATTACACAACTAATCATTTATTTGACCAAAGGAAGATATCAAATGTTTTGAAAATCGCTTAATCTTTAAAGAATACATTTATTCAATTTTCCTTCAAAAAACTACATAAAATGGTCAGCCTCTCAGACGTCTTGCTTTTCTCTAAGTTTAATATCAATCTGTATTTTTGGGGGGGTTTTGGAATGACAAAACATTACATTCAAATATATGACCTTGGACTCTACAATGACAGCGCTGTTTTTTAAAGAAACATAGCGTTCAATTTCTACATGAATTTACGAGTGTAAATGCATGAAAGAAAAACGTAACTATAGATATTTATAATACAAACATGCGGTGCCACTTACTTATTAGTGTGAATCAGAGTCCTGCACGGGTCTGATTTTCAAGACCCGCTCCCGCCCCCGCGACGTGCAATACCGAACCCGCCCCGCTACCCACACATATTGCCAATTAGTTCCGCAACCCGACCCGACCCGTCGGCACAGGATCCGCAACCCGACCCGAACCCGCATATATATGAGCAGTGAAAACGTGCACTTATTAACACACGCAGTTGGATATTTGTCTAAAAAAGCGTGGCATGTTTGTTATTTTCTGCATCTAGGATCACACCAAAAGCCTCCCAGACGTTGGATTTCGCTCTTGAGGAAGTGTTTTTGAAAATGCTGTATTCTCCGCTAGAGAGCTTCACCTCAGCCATTTCGAATGTGGCGCGTTCAGCAGCAGATTGATGCGCTGCAGAGGTTATGATTATGCGCGGTCTGAGGATTTAAACATTAAACTAAATTATTATTATTTTAATATATTTATTATGCAGCGACCCGACCCGTTTAATCTTTGTTTTACCCAGAACCGGTCCCGGAAAAAAGCGTTTGAAAAAATACCACCTTTTTTGCGGGTCACCCGTCGGGTACCCGACCCGATGCAGGACTCTAGTGTGAATTACTGTTAGAGTTGATTATAATGAGACATGATTAACTGCAACCATAAGATGTTATATTAAATAGTCTAAAGCTATCGTTAGGATTTAGAGATATTGTAAGCTATAGCTCAGTGATTATTTATGAACACAGCCTTCATTTACCAAACAATTACAGTATAGAGTGTAGGGGTGCAACAACTAATCGACTTAATCGATTAAAATCGATGACCAAATTAGTTGCCAACTAATTCAGTCGTCGATTCGTTGGTGACGTCATCACGTGTGTTTTACGCGCCGTTAAACTCCAACGTTATCGGTCTTTTTATCGGTAGGCTACTGGAGACATTTAAAAAATATAGGACGTATGTATTATTGATACATAAACATTATATATCAGCCTTAGTGTCACCAACTCGTTAAAAATGCGCCTATGGTGTATTTTCGATCTTTCCAATCAAGGCGAGATCTCTCTCTCTCCCCCGTCTGTGTTGCGAGGGGGCGGGGCAGTTTACACACACGCGGCTGCTACATGCAGCAACACACGGCGGAGAGAAGCGCTNTGTGTTTACTCCTGTTATTCAAACAGGACACACTGGAGAGGGGCGGGGCTTATATCCATTTGACCGTGATTTAATACACGTTTCAAAATGATGCCGAAGTAACTAAATACTGATAACGGTTACTAAAAACCATGCTTTGACAAGTGTGCAGACAAGACGGCAGGCAAAAAACTTTTAAAATGCGTGTTCTCTGAATGGAGCGATCTCAATTCGATCAGATACCACACACACACACACACACACACACACACACACACACACACACACACACACACACACACACACACACACACAAGTATTGCTTGTTCACAAAGTTGAATGTTGGAGCTTCACTGTGCACTGCTGAATGATGTATGTGCAGAGTTTGACCCTTGAAGAGTTTCTTCTGNCTACACAGACACACACACACACACACACACACACACACACACACACACACACACACACACACACACACACACACACACACAAGTATTGCTTGTTCACAAAGTTGAATGTTGGAGCTTCACTGTGCACTGCTGAATGATGTATGTGCAGAGTTTGACCCTTGAAGAGTTTCTTCTGCTATGAAATGGAATATATTTGTTACATATTAATAGAATTTTAGATTTTTTGATTTGATTTTGGATTTGTGAATTGGAGAATTAGTAGATGGAAAAAATACCAAACACAAATTATTCAAAGTACAGTATTTCATTTTATATACAGTAATACTCAGGAGGCATAGGCCTATATGATGATATGTTTGACATTATTGATATTAAAAAAGTGATTTGTTTTCCATGTAATTCGTGTGTTTTTCTTATCAGAAAGTGAAGTTATTTATTTGTAAGCTCCAAATCCAAATGTTTCCCTCAATGGCTTTTGCGCCCTGAAAAAATGTGTGACACCAAAGGCCAAATGGCCTTGCCCCTAAAATGACGAAAATCCAAGCCTGCACGTGACTCATTTGAAATCATCTATTTTTATTATGAACAAAACTGGTGTTTAGCGAATGACCGTTTGTGTTTCAATAACAGTAACATGCACTTTTGAAAGTAGAAGGCTTTTATTGACTTTAAAACTGCAAAATAATATTTAAAGTAAAAAACCAAGATGCACTGTATTCAGAAGTTGTCCCACATTCAGAGATTTTACCTTCCGCAGGTTCTCGGCTCCTTCTTTGATCTTCAGCTCTTTGCGGATCTCGCGGCGAATCTGCTCCTTTATCTCGTCCAGCTTCTGCTGAACCATGGTGTCGGACAGGTCCAGGTTGTGTCCCAGACCTAGACGCTCCGCCACCAGCTGGCCCCTGGAATCCCCCTGAAGGTGGAGAAAGAGAAGAAGGAAAAGAGGAGATTTAGTAAGTCATTTAGAGGTCAGCAGGGAGGAAAAGCAACAGGTAAACAGGAGAAAGGAGGAAAAGGAGAAGAGGACATACAACAGTCAGTGAAAGTCAAAAAGTAGACTAGTATTAGAAAAGTGGACTTTCAACACTGAAGACAAAGCGGCACCCTCTTACAATGTCTCCAAACAGCTGAAGCTATTTGAAAAACAAATGCATTTCCGTTTTGTCATGACAACAGTAAGAAAGCGATAAAAGCTGGGGGAGGTCTAGACAAAGTTATTTTCCAGTAGTCACTAAGTTTATCATACTAATCAAAAACAAATGTAAGCATGTGTGATCTGATCCTTGGCGTGAGCAAGAATTAGATTCCATTTACAACTTTTACAAATGGCCAGAGTTAAAAAAAACTTGGTTGAAGCTGAAGCTTCAGCTTCAGCCAGACGAAGACTGACAAAGACATTGGAGTCCTGTTGGAGTCACGAGGGAGGCAAAGAGGAGGCAAATCCTACTTTGATTGAGCTAAGTATCGCTGGTGTTTTCTTTTGTTTTATTCAATTCTCTTTGGTTCTCTAGCCATGCTATAATTATGTGTATTTTCTCCATTCCTGTTCATGTGTCCTCTCGCAATTATCACTGGCCCCGTGTATCTCCTAATCGATATAACCGGCCTGCTCTCGTCTATCCCACATGCTCTACTGAGATCCAACATCTCGTTTCAGGGGGCCTGTGGAACTGCCAGTCAGCTGTTCCTAAGGCTGACTTCATCTCTGGCTACGCTTCCCTGCAGTCTCTGGATTTCCTTGCTCTCACGGAGACCTGGATTACTCCATCCAACACATCCACCCCAGCAGCTCTCTCCACAGCATATTCCTTCTCCCATACACCCAGACCCTCTGGCAGAGGAGGTGGCACTAGTCTCCTGCTCTCTCCCAACTGGAGCTTTTCCCTCTTCAAGCTACCTAACTTCACTCCTTCCACCTTTGAATTCCATGCCGTCACAGTAACCCATCCTATACAATTAACCATTGTTGTTCTCTACCGTGCTAATAGAACCATCCTTCGGGCAGCAGAGCGGAAATGGTGGAAATCCAAACACCATGACGACCTCCTAACTCAGGGGTCGGCAACCCGCGGCCCACAAGCCGCATGCGGCCCTTTAAGCCCTCTGCTCTGGCTCCCTTGAGCTTAGACAAAAATAAGAAGGAAATAAAATAAAAGTATTTGTAGGACTATTTATATTTTGTTGCATGGTTGAAAATGTTTCGTATCTTGTATTTTGAGGTGATACTGTGACACATAAATAAAAAACAAAACGGTTTTAATTAGGTCAACTAAAATATGCGTCACATCCTGCTACGGTCCCGCGCGAGCGCCTTTTCCTGCGGGTGAATAACCTGACCCCCGGCTCGATGAGCGAACTATGGATAAATCAAAGAAAAGTACCGGAGGAACACAGGATTTAATTCTGTGTGGACAGAGTTATATGCTTTCACAGCAAACGATGCTGGTTTACCGGTATGTTTTTTATGTGTAGAGAGAAGATGCTCAAA